CTATTATTCTATGATTTTTGGACTATTGGATTTAGTAGGTTATTGGACACGGATTCCGTAATGCATGTGTAATGATTCCGTCCAAAATGTAGGTACGAGTACATACCAAAGTTATCCATAAGATTAAATATAAGATTTTGGTAGTTTGTTTTAGTAAACCTGTATCCTAAATCTATTTCTCCACCGATATAAAATAATGTAAGTAATTTCATGACTTTATTATCATACCTGCTGACTTGCCTCACTCGGGCAGGTAAATTCATATTTCAAAATTAGTAGGTACATAAAGAAAAATTACCTATAAACAAGGAATAAATCGTAAGTAAACACTGTGGAAAGTTTAGTTTTGATAAAGGAAAAAAGGTGGCCTTATTCTAATGAGACAGCACACGAAGTAGGTACTTAGGTTCCTGAGGCAATGGAGTGGCGCGGTGAAAGAAAAGGTAAGAAAATACGAAATAATTTACTAGATTTTTATAGTTTACTCATGACAACAATGTTAATTTAAAGGATTATATTTATACTGTTCTTTACCCACTATTCCCGCCTACCCAAGCTGTAAGAATTCAAGACTCTGTTCAGCTTCCAAGGTTCAGAGACTGGTTCCTCGGCACTAAACAGACGGATCTGAAGTAACACAGTGCGAGCTCCGAGGCCGAGTTCCGTGACCCGAGGTTCCTGGCCAATGTTCCGAGTCCCGATGCCTGAGGGTGAGTCCTAGCGCCTGAGTTCCGAAGGCCGAGTTCCGAGTTCGAGGTGCCGACTGAATGTGCTTAGTTCCTCTACGGGGCCGAGTTCCAAGTCGATGTTCTGCGGAACAGTAGCAGTGTCTGAATTTCCAGCTTCAATGTTTCCCATTCCTATCCATTTGATACCAGTGCTAAGACTGAATGAAGTAGACTCCTTCATACGCCCAGATTATTTATATTAGACCCTAAATGAAACATTTTCAGTAATAATAGGTACCAAACCCACAATGTTATTTTTTGCTGTCTCAAATAAAGAGAAAAAATAAATAAATTTGTATTTGTTTTAATTACCTATTTTAATAAGCATTTAAATAACCTGCGGTAATAAAGCGGTGCGGAAGAGGAGTGTTTTCCATTTTCTTCGTGTCTCACTGGAATCAAGGCCACCCTTATGATCCAAGATATACTAAATAACATTAAATCCCCGTGTAAAAAGTACCAGGGCAAAATAACTATAACGTAGCTACTACTCGTATGTAATATTGTCTCGAGTTAACCAAGAACAATTGAACTAACTCCTTTATGGTTATGTTGCCCTAGTACTTTTTATACGGACACATAGCGAAATTAAGAATGTTATATCTTGGGTCATAGATACAAGTTCACTATTTAGGTTGTCTAGCAATTACCTAGGTCTACAGAAGAAAGAGTGCGTCTACTGGAAATAGGGAATTTCCCCCAGGTGTTCCTCAGTAAATTGTTGGTAGGTACCTAAGTAATTCCTAAGATTTATAGTAATATTAGCTTATAATAAGCCTGTGTTCTAAATTCTAATTCTCCACCGATAGCAATTAAACCCAACTTAACAGTTTTATAGCCATAAAAGTTGGCTCTAGCGTACTTAACTACCTATTTTTTGAAGAAGTGACTCTGGATCCTTCTAAAGACACATTTTTGGGGTAAAAACCTTTCCTTTAATGAAATGAAGGTTAGAACTAGGCTTTTAAATGGTACCAATATTGGTGGGAAGTGGGGATGCATACGTTTGAAACCTTTGCTTTAATGAAATGAAGGTTAGAACTAGGCTTTTAAATGGTACCAATATTGGTGGGAAGTGGGGATGCATACGTTTGAAAATGCTTGTTGCGGGTGGTGCGATTTATTTGACGTCGAGTGTAGGTAAAAATAAAAAAACGTAAGTAGGTAATTTCATGATTTTATTAATACCTCAGTCAGGTAAAATTCATATTTAGAAAATTAAGTATAAAATTACTTTTAAAACTAGGAATAAAGAGTAAACACTAAATGCGAGTGGAACGTTTAGTTCGATGCTCTGATAGTTCGTATTTAGCAACTGTATATAAAAACATAAACATAGATTTGATCATCTAATTCCCTTGTTGATATAATCTCTGATTTGAATTTTATGGTGTTTATGGATTATTAATATTAACAAAATTAACACTTTTTGTTGATTTTGTTGCTTAAACGCACAAATAGGTAACAGTACCTTGGCTATGCCTATGACCAATATGACCATGCTATTTCTTCTGAAAATAATTCAACATGGGAGATAGATGATACACAACTATAGAGAACATGATTAGTAACTTTTAAATATGTCACGCATATTTCCTTCGTTACTTAAAATCTTGGTATATTTATGTCTTCTAAATATAAATAAACAATACTAAAAAGTAATCAGAATGTAAAATGAATGTTGAGTCAATAATTATAGTTAACTCTAGTCATACAAAATTATTTATAGGCAATTTTATTACAAGCGATATTTGATCAGTTCACAATAAACTATTTAAACACAACTATGTTTAATTTCTCGAATATATAACTTATGGTTCTACTTTAGATACTTGAGTATGTTACATCGTTTCGATCACATAGTTGTATTTACTACATTTCATATTCCTGTAACGTCGATAGTTATTAAACTTATTAATGATGTGATAAGTGATAAGATACTTGCGATTTAAAGTATTCTGCAATAAGTATACTTCCCAGTAATGATTACTCGGATTCTAGAATTTTGTCGGGAACATCACTAGAAACAGAACGATCGACGTTACAGAAACTACAGATACACATCCAATTATAGCCTTCACGTGGCTTCTTAAACTACTTTTAGTACAATGAGTAACATTCCCAAATATCATCTTACACTACAAATAAATGTAATGGTTGTAAATAATACAATACAATATTATTAATACATTTGGTACGTGCTTTGTACCAAGCGGTACGTTTGGCCGAATCTCATTCTCTTGGTAAGCAATAAGCCGAATGCAGTGTTGATATTACCTACTATTTATTATTCAAGCTTCAGGTTTATAATATTGTAATAAAATTGTTTTTATTTATTAAAACTGTGATATGAGACTTGACAACTGCTATTAAAATTCGTTATAAAATTTGAAGCTATTGATTTCTATAGCTTTCATTTTAAAACTATTATATCACTAAAGCGTGAAATTATACATCAAGGTACCTCAACTTTGCACTAAAAGTTTCTGTATCCACCATGATTTTTAACGATAGTAAGGGATAGTTCAGACGCGCGGAATCGCGCAGAAACAGTCACTGTTTCATGGCTTGCAAGTCTAAAATATCCCTAAACGTCTACGTATTAGAATAAATATTTGATAATTTTCAGATAGTCCAAGAGATTTCCAATTTATCAGTATCTGAACCATGGGCCACGAAAAATAAATATAGGAACTAAATAAGCAAGCGAGAAAAGAAGAAAAAGAGTATTTTTATCATCTTGTTACATAGGTTTCTATACAAAACACTTCTTCGAGAAGGTAAGCGTGGCTCGTGGGACATCTACTGAGCATTCAACATGTAGGTGGAACACAACTCGGCTTTACAAATCATTCAATTCAACATACTATCAGTAATAGAGCACTTCATGGTAAAATACCCATTAAATACCCATTACCAACAGTTATACGCATTTGATTCGGTGTACATATTATATTCTCTCTTCACAAAATCTCACTAAATACTTGCGTTCATCGCTCAATATAATTTCAATCTAAACATTGCAAATTGTTACGTAAACACGGAATCGAAATGGTTTTAAAAGTGTTATTGCAGTAAATAATGAACCAATTCTGCGCCTATGTCAGCCACCGGTGCGCTTTCGACGTCACACCAGGGTAAACACTAGCATTTTATAGTTATTGTATATTGGTGTTATTTGCAACACTAATGTACAGTCTGATGTGGTGTCGACTGCATGTAGTAGGGTCGTCCGTTAATCACGTGAGAGGTTTATAGCAACGGTGGGTAAAAGGGTCAACGCGCGTTGATTGAAAAAATAAATACAAATTTGAATCGCTACATCCCCTCCCTCCTCCTCTTGTATCCTAGGCTTTCCTCTGAGACTACTCAGCTCTCGCCGAGTTTCATTAGCAACTAGACCAACCCTTAGGTAGGTGAAACAGGATTGTAGTCCTGCAAACGGGAGATGCGATTAGTTAGGAATATAAGGCTTGCCTAAAATCAATAGTATTGCTCGCCTGTCGAAGGGCCGCATATCACTTATCGATTAATCGATAATTCCCATTTATAATTGGATACTATCGACAGTGATAATACTTTCGATATTATCTCACTATCGATAGTATTACGAATTACGAATTCAAACTAGTTCCGTCTCCTTTTTGCGAGTGTTCCACTGATGATGTCAGTCATGAGCAGTCTGCCCATCATATCTTGTGGGAGTGTGATCTTTGGAAACATGAACGTGATATAATGCTTAATTCAATACAACATACATCTGTTTCCGCAATTTATTACACCGATCTTGTCGCGACAAGGAAAAATTTCCGTGCTTTTAAGCGATTTTGTGAAAAATATTATTGGCAGGTAGTTGCTAATTGCTCATAAGATAGGCCCCCTTAATTTAATTTATTGTCCGTGGTGCATAATCTTTTTCTTAAAGGTTTTAAATCTTTGTTTGTCACCTGTCATCCGCTTTGCAATGGAGGGAAGTCGAACCTTAATTTCGAACTCCTCCTATGTTCTTCTGATTAATTTCGTTGCGGGTCCAATGACAGTTTAACTTTCCCCCGGGACAAACTTGACCTTCATTGGTTGGGTTTTTGTGGCGGTCAAGCTGTAGATCCTGGCTACACAGGAGTTGCAGTGGTGGGAACGAGAGGTGGGAATAGTCCCGTTTATCGATAGTATTAGTAATTTCCAGCGGGATCTACGAAAAATCGATGATCAAAGCGTCCCGTCTCCCTCTCAGTTGATTTCCCGAACCTTTCCCCTTAACCTCACGTAATTAACAGACGATCCCTAGCAATGAAGGCTATCGTTTTTATACTTAACAGTGAGTGCAAATGCGATAGTCCTCCTACCACTTTAGCACTCACCAGTTGGTGCCACTGTCTTCGCTACTAGCAAGTGACAGGACCTTACTCTACAGTGGCGCCATCTTGATGAGTGCAAATGCGATAGTCCTCCTACCACTTTAGCACTCACCAGTTGATGCCACTGTCTTCGCTACTAGCAAGTGACAGGACTTTACTTGACCTTCATTGGTTGGGTCTTTGTGGCGGTCAAGCTGTAGATCCTGGCTACACAGGAGTTGCAGTGGTGGGAACGAGAGGTGGGAATAGTCCCGTTTGACAGGACCTTACTCTACAGTGGCGCAAACTGGTGAGCGCTAAAACGATAGCCCTCATTCTGTCGTGGTATCCATCGGCGGTTACTTCTTCTTGCTCTTGCCGAGCGTGAGCGTGTGGTGGTGCGTGGCGGCGTGCTGCTTGCGGCGGTTGAACTCGATGGTGTCGTCCTCGATTTTCTTGCGAAGCTCCTCCAAGCGTTTCTTTTCGTCCGTGTGGTCTTTCTTGAGACGGTCGAACTTGGCGTGCAGCTGGAAAGATAGGTATGATAGTGAGTATTTTGGAACTAACAGATTTGTGTAAGTAACATATGATAGACCCAGTCATCCGCTTTGTAATGGAGGGAAGTCGAACCTTAATTTCGAACTCCTATATTCCTCTGATTAATTTCGTTGCGTGTCCAATGACAGTTTAACTTTCCCCCGGGACAAACTTGACCTTCATTGGTTGGGTTTTTCATCAAGCTGTAGATCCTGGATACACAGGAGTTGCAGTGATGGGAACGAGAGGTGGGAATAGTCCCGTATATGATAGACCCAAAGTGCTGTACCTCCAATCGGTATTATTAGTCATACATTTGATTACCTTTGTTAAAGAACTAGGTTGGAAATGAAAGAAAGGGATAGGCTACCATTAGCATTATAACACTAGGAGCTGCTGACATGACAGAAACATTAAGATTAGTCACGCACTATCCTCAATTTAGATTCTAGAGGAAAACAAGAGGATTTTGCAATACGGGCTGGGAAGGTGTGGAATAAGTTATTGTTGTGAACCAATTACCTATCTATACTATTTAGCGCCATCTACTTAGATATTGCGTAAGCAACTGTCAGTAAAGCGCCATCTATGGTTCTTTCGAAATACTTTAAAACTGGACAAGCTAGTTCACACGATATACCATAGATGGCGATTAAATCCTAAATCCTATCGATATAATTGAATCGATTACAATGGACATTATTTTCGTAAAACGAATATCGATAACTTCGAGTATTATCGATTTTTAGGTTACTTATAATAGACAAGTGGCGATATCTATCCGCGCTACTACAGAGTAGTGGTAGTCTTTACCAACAGATGGCGCTGACACATACATTACAAGACACGCAACCTGCATCGCGGTGACTGAGTTCTCTGCCCAGACTAGAAGAATTATAATAATAAAAAAACCAGAGGCTGATATTAATTGGATCTCGGTTCCCGTGCACAACACCCTCTCAACTCAACTTCAACGAACTGTCTCACCCGTGACATTGACAGGGGGCGCTACCGTCAATACCGGATCGCTGGTTCCGATTTCTGCCACGTTGGAAACTATATAGTTTAACGATGGTGGCGCCCCCTTATCAATGTGTTTGGTGGAACAATTCAGTGTAGCTCATCTATAGTTTCCTTATCGTGGTCGATCCTCAAATCCCACAGATATAATAATCGATTACGTTTAGGCGCGTGGTCCAATTCGCAATTGGTCCAATCGTGAAAAATTTACAAATTCGCGATTAGTCCAATTCGCTATTGGTACAATTCACGACTGGTCTATAGATGACTCACACTGAACTGTCCCACCAAACTCAATGACAGGGGGGCGCTACCATCGTTCAACTAAATGGTTTCCAACATGGCAAAAATCGGAACCAGCGATCCGGTATTGGCGGTGGTGCCCCGCTGTCAATGTCATGGATAGGACAGTTCAGTATTTTGGAACTATAATTCGCTATTGGGCCAATTCACTATTGGTCCAAAATAAAAGGATATTCAAAATGAAAAAAATAAGGAGGTTATTCAACCGTTTAGGCCTGATTGGTCCAATTCGCAATTGATTCAATGGTGAAAAATTCACCTAAAGGATCGATTATAACGTATGTATTGTAGTACCTCCTTCTCGGCGTCCTTGAGCTCGGCCTCCTTCTCCTTGACGCGCTGCACGAACATCTGGCGCATCTCGTCCTCCTTCTGCTGCAGCTCGGCCAGGTGCGCCACGCGCTTCTGCTCGAACGTCTGCTGGAACGACACCTGCAAAGGACAACGACCATTTATTATACAGGGTGTTAGGTAAATGGGTATATGAGCCGACAATAGCCCATGTTAACATGGGCATATAAACGGTATGGTGAAGTCAGAAAATTGATATCGTCATTTTAATTATTTTAATTTTCATACAAATCGGATTTTATAAAATTAATTTTGTATGAAAATTAAAAAAAAAATGATATCAAATTTCTGACTTCACCATACCATTTATATGCCCATGTTAACATGGGCTAGTGTCGGCTCATATACCCATTTACCTAACACCCTGTATATGTTATGTCAATTTCAAAATTCAAATAAATGACGCAAATGAGATTTCCTCCATCGATTACTATAAAATGACAATGAGGGTTTTCGCGATTGAAAAATCCGCCAGATGGCAATACGTAGACGGGAGGTCCAAATGCTGCATGATTGGTTATTTTTGACATGACATTGACAGATATGTCAAAATCCACCAATCACGCAGCAGTCAGACCCCACATCCACGTCCCGCCATCTAGAGGATCTTTCATACGCGAAAACCCTAAATGAGATCAAACCAATGGCATCACTTGCTTTCGGCCTCGGTGCTCGTATACGCGTGCGTTATTAACGCCGTATGGTGTGCAGCGTACATAATCAACAACCTTTTACAGTCCACTGCTGGACTATGAGCCCCCTCCACTATAGTGGAGGGTTTTGCCATAATCCCCACGCTTGGCAGGCGGGTTGGAGATCGCAGTTTAAAAGATTTATGTTTTTCAGAAAGCGCTGCTGCCCGTTATCCGTTTGATGTGTAGTCCCTAAGTCGCCTTTTACGACACCCGCGGGAAGAGTAGGGGTTGGTGACAAATGTACTCTACTCTAACTCTACTTGCTAAAATCAAGTGGCAGTGGGCGGGGCACATAGCTCGTAGAGACGATGGCCGTTGGGGCAGGAATGTTCTCGAGTGGCGACCACGGGCTGGAAGACGTAGCGTGGGCAGGCCTACTAGGTGGACCGACGATCTGGTAAAGGTCACGGGAAGAGCCTGGATGCGGGCAGCGTAGGACCGTTCATTATGGAAAACCTTGGGAGAGGCCTTTGTCCAGCAGTGGACGTCATTTGGCTGAAACGAACGAACGTACTCTACTCTGCGCTCACCACACCGAAGTGCAGCGCACACTGATCAAGTTATTGTCGGCCTACTGTGACTGACCGGCTTGTTGTCGGCCTACTGTGACTGACCGGCTTGTTGTCGGCGGTGCGTGTCTGTACTGACCGGCTTGTTGTCGGCGTCGACGTCGCTGAAGCCCATCTGCTGCAGGCGGCGGCGGCGGTAGAGCTCGTAGTGTCGCGCGTGCGTGTCTCTACTGACCGGCTTGTTGTCGGCGGTGCGTGTCTGTACTGACCGGCTTGTTGTCGGCGTCGACGTCGCTGAAGCCCATCTGCTGCAGGCGGCGGCGGCGGTAGAGCTCGTAGTGTCGCGCGTGCGTCTTCTCGCGCATGTCCTCCATGTTGGTGCGGATCAGCATCTCGCGCAGCTTCACGAAGTCGCAGTGGGACTCGTTCTCCACTGGAATTTGAACATAAACATTTGTTACTGAAGTTTTCTTCTCACCGTAGTAGTCGTGTGAAGTTGTCACCTGCGCAGCTCATCAACGTGGCGCTAGCTCAGCGTCACCGTGACGCCAATACTGAGTGGCTGCCGAAAAGGAACGCAACAACGGAATGAGAGGATTCCGTTACTTGCCCGAACAAACGTTGCGTAGGCCTCGTGGCGACACTGAAGACAGCGTTGCGTTAACATTACGTGGGCGCTGGCAAGACAACACTAGAAAGACGCTACTGTAAGCGGGTCTCTTAACGACTACTAAGGGACCGTTCAAGTATTACGTAAGCACCAAGGGGGGGTGGGGGGGGTCTCTGTTTTGCTTATTTTGATGACATGGGGGGTAGGGGGGTCTAGATGATGATTACGTCATCGTTAGTTATTTACGTTTTTTCGGGGATTCCCGCAAATAATACATATGCGTAGGCACTCGCCTTGAGAACTGATTAGGGGAATTACCGCACATTAGGGAAATTACCGTGCGCTATTCAGTTGTCTAATAATTAATTCTCGTGCCGACATTGCCCATTGAAATTTGAGAGTCCGCATAAAATATTATACGCGAAGCCGGCCTAGCGCGCGTGTTTTGTTTGGATACTAAACGTATTGTAAGCATTGAAAGTTATCATTTGTGTTTATGTTGATGCATAATTGATGCAATTATGTTTGTTGTGTTCTTTTTTTTTTTCAGATTATATTTTTTTGTTCCTACTCTGTGTATCAGTAAAAACCTAATATTTTCATGAATTTTCCTATTTTAAAAATGACAATATAAAAAACATTTATAACAAAATGTTTACGTAAGCATAGGGGGAGGGGGTAAGTGCTTTGCTTACTTTTGATGACAAGGGGGGCGGGGGGGTAAAAAATGGTAAGAAATCTGCTTACGTAATACTTGAACGGCCCCTAAGTGCAATGTATATCCTCGCTTAACATGCGGATCTAATGACAGTTTATCTTTCCCCGGGACAAACTTGGCCTTCACTGGTTGGGTTTTTATTAGCGCTCAATCTGTAGACTCTGGCTACACAGGAGTTGCAGCGGTGGGAACGAGAGGTGGAAATAGACTATTTGACACCATTCCCCAATCATTCGAAATTACAGCTTTTTAAAAAAACTAAACAAACTTCATGCTAGTCTTTAAAACTTATTTAATTTTAAATTAAATCTGTAAATTAAGATTTTTGGTTGCATTGATAAAAGTTGTTCGAGTTGACAAAATAGTGACGTCACAGGCTTGTATTGCCATACACAATCTATGGGAGTCTCGTTTTACAGTTTCAAAAAGTACGTTAATTGATTGGTGGTGTCAAATACCCTATAGTGCCACAGTGATATTGACGTTACCTTGAATAGTGTGCCCTCAGTGGCGAAAAAACGCCAGTTCATCGCCATAAACCAAAGAAGAAGACGTTACCTTGCACGGTGCCCCAGGGGTACTGCCTCGCGCGCACGGTCTTGTTGCCGCACTTGACGAAGTCGGTGGAGCCGACGACGGCGAAGGGGACGTGCGCGTTCATGCCGCCGTTGACCTCCGACACCGACTCGTCGTCCGTCGGGAACGAATAGATCTCCACGCCGTTCGCTTGCAACTCTTGCATTATCTTCGACTGGAAGAAAAGATGGTTTTAAGTCGACACTAATTTAAAAACGAAAAAGCTACACAAATGCCTCCGCCAATGATTTCTACAACGACCGGTGCTACCTACTAAAAATTAATAATTTAAAAACTAACTAACTCTTAGTTTAGAGTTCCTATGGCCATCTCCCGACTGCATCATCAGGACCCTGAACATCATCTAACACTAAAGTGCTCGAAAAGACAAATCCAACGAACCCAAACTCGATGCGATTCCGCCGTTTCGTTTAGGAGTTCCTATAGCCACCTTCCAGTCCCATCATCAGACCAGCTATATTGTATTGTCATCTAATCTACATATACTTGCCAAGTTTCATGATGATACAAGAATTAGAAGTGCGTGTAATTCAGATTCTTAGATTCCATTACATGTTAGTTACATACACAATCTAATAAAAGCGTCTTAAAAATCGTCAATAATATCAGTAGTACAAATTAATGTAAAGACTACACATAAGACAATGCTACAGTGTATAGCTTGTCTACTACATACTTCTAGGGTATAGTATTCAAATACATTTTACAGCCATTGTCCACATCTAAAACCCTGATTAAAGAATTCTGTCTTATCATAATCACTGTTTTTGACTTTTTTCACCTCATCAAAATCGATAAAAGGTAACGAAATATATATTAGCCAAAGAGTGCTATAGTACAATTAAAAAAGTATGATATTTACGTTAAACTGATGCCATGAAAATACCAACGATCCTTGCTAGTAGCATGCAACCAATTAACATAGAAATACACATTATTCTAGGCCAACTAGTGACCAGCGTAGTATGCAATCTAGGTCAATTGAATGCTCGACTCATCAAGAGACATATCGTGATGAACCAGTCAACTGTGACACGACAATTTTACAGATATTGAACTTTACTACAAGCAGGGTTCGAAAGGATAGTTATCACAATTATCTTGATAATAACAAAAAAATGCGCGCGTAAAAGTGAACTATATTCGAAGTTTTCAAACTCGTGTGGACTGTGGTGGACGTTATTTAACATAGATAGTTCTAAAACCTATCTATTTAGCTCCATAACGATCACTCGTTAACTAGCGTCAAAATATTTATCTATTTTCCACAACGCTTTATATGGGACTAGCGATGGATAACTTGACAACAATCAGTAACCAAAAACATAAAGCAACATTCTCAATGTAACATCAGAATTTCTTATGAAACAATATGACAATTGTATCTTACACTGTTGATAATGTCGAACCCTGACTACTAATTATTATTTTATAATCGACAGCACATCACACTATAAATTTTTGTTGCAAACTAGCTTCTATTACAACTAAATAAGATGCCTTACCTTGAACTTCTGCAGTTCCGTCTTGGAGATGGTGTCGGCTTTGGCGATGATGGGAATGATGTTCACTTTGGTGTCCAGTTTCTTCATGCACACCAAGTCGATGGATTTCAGACCGTGACCTGGAAGATGGGAGTAATGGCTTTATTACTATTTTCACTTTTTTTCATCGAAAGTTACGGTTTTATAATCTATATTTTTAGAATTTGGTGCTAGCAACACTCCTTTGATTCTAAAATCTAGTATTTTTGGATAGATCGTCAAAATAGTGTTTTTTGCGAGACAACTTTTACGATTGTTTGTATAGGATGGTAATTCAATAATAACAAACTTATAACTTTACACAAGTAGGTAAGTAATCGAAATGACTCAGGACTACAGTAAAAATAATAAAAAAACAATTAAAGTATTTTAAGACCATTTTAAGCAAAACATAGTTTTAAAAATGAGTTAATGCTATTAAACAAGTCAACAAAGTTTACATTTTCTAATATTAGCATAAAATAAACATCGGAAACTATTTATCAGAAGTTCCTTGAACCATAATATCTAGATAAGACCATTCCATCTAAAAGCAATATGACTCATCCTCAGTCCTCCACATTAAGTGAAATATTATAAACTGCTCGTCTATTCCCGAAAACAATATCTACATCTACATTCCATCTCTCTCACTCAAGGTTCACTCTAACGAGAAAGACAGAGAAGGCAATAACGGCAACATTTAGCTCCGTAGACCCCTCGAGACAGCCGAGCTGGCGTCAATCACCCGTCACTCGAGTGTGAATGATAATTATGTTACTGTTGCCATTGTGGCGGGCTCATAATCGCGGCGGAATGTGTTCGTAATCACTGGCTGATTGACTAGTAACGTCTTTACTCACTTACCAATACACATTTGCAATCACAGCTGTTATACAACAATGAATACTAAACGATGTGTTTTGAAAGAATGTCAATAATAAAATAATAATTATGTAGCTTCCCTAATAATACGACAAACGGGCATAGCATAGGTAGGTTGATAGGTATTTTTGTAATTAAAATGTTATTTATCCTCTTCAAAATTAATAGATCTGGTATTTTAGATAGAGACAAATTAGCGCAGTAAAAGCGACAGTTAAGTAACCGTTATCAACAATAAACAATGACACACAAAACGTGTCAACAAACGAATTCCGATATCATCGACAAAGTAGCGCAAGATCGTTGCACTTTACAAATCGAGTGTTGTGAAAACACCGACGCGTGCCCCGTAACGATACAGCACGTAGGCGAAGCACAGTAAGGCAAAAGGGCTTGTCGTCATGAACTGTAAACTCGTAATTCGTATACTAACTAGCACTACTACTAGGTATCAATATGCATTACTAGATTCGAGGAGACAATACGTATTCAGAAAGCGACGTCTTTAAGAGTTACTAGGTAGTAGGTTACTAAGAACTAGAACATTGAATTAACTCAATTTCCTGATACGAATAATAATCAACTGCTTTAGAGTAATTTTAAATTTCACTGAGAACTGAACATGACTTCCGGAGTCAGGATATCGCAGATTGGACCGTGTGATGTCTCATAAAAATACCACCAAGGATGTAACTCACACGATACATTTCCACACGAGCTCATTGATACTCACGCGTACGTAATAAGAAATGTCCCGTTACATATGGAGATGCCCAAGAGACATGTGTCACAAACTTCGAGGGCATGTTTTTATGTCGCGCGCGCCCCGCATACATCAGCGAGCCAATGTCAAGGACGACATAGATGTGGGTCGATGATGGGGAAAGTAATAACAGTGTAGTAAAACGAGTCTATTTGGATTGGAAAGTAGAAATTAGACCAGTAAGGAACCTATTTTTGTCTCGAACTTTACAACAAAATTTAAACTGACAAAAGTTAATTGTTAAATAAATAAAAAGTTTACTAAAATAAAACTGTTTGCATATAAACAGAATTCTACTGCTACTTGTATACAAATAAGTACCATAAGAAACAACAACTTCAATCAGCAATATTCCTATCTGCAAAAGACTAATTTCTGCCTATACTGTTTTGAAAAACAAAAAAAGCCTCTATGTTATCTCAGACATATTCTCTTCATCATATTATAGCCTTCACTAGGATAATCCAACTGTCCCTAAGCCTTTGCATCAAAATTCTGAAAACTTGTCAAAAAACAGTCACATTAATTCTCATTCTGAAAATCCATAGCAGCTGTCCGAGCAATGCAGAAAATCACTCACCAGTAGGACAGATAAAGTAGAGGCAGACGTGCAGGCGGCTGTCATGGTATGTGGGCAGCGCACGCTTGATCTTCAGCTCCTCTTGTAAGTACGCCTCGAACTGAGCATCGATGTAGTCCACCACCGCCTTGAAGCTGTCCTCCTTGTTCACCTGGTCTCCGTACCCCACCGTGTCGCATATTGTTAGCTGGAAAGTAATATAAGCTAATAAAAACTGAATGAACCTGTGCAGCAAAATGACCTCATAAGAAAACATGTTTAGTACAGTCAGGGTGACACCCAAAGTGGCCCAAAAGTTGCCAAATCAACCTTCCTTATCCAATACATGTTGCGAACTTTTGGGCTACTTTGAGTGTCACAAACTATTTGATGCTGAGTGCTGACTGTACCAAGTGATGATTAAAATGAATAAACAAACCTTAAACCTAGTCATAAAGCTAGGTCAGCACCAATACTGTACCTAAGATAATGAGCTAGAGAGAAATAAGTTATTGAATTCCAATACCTTCAGCCGAACACTGCTCTCCTGCAACTCATACGTATGGGCCTTTAGCTTCACAGTGGGCAGGTTGTGTGGGCTGGGAGTGGACTCAAAGTTAGTGTTGAAAAGAGAATCCATCAGGGTCGACTTGCCCAGGCCTGTCTCACCTGGTGACAAACATATTCAACTTACTTTACAGTTGTCATGAAAATATGGTAGATGGACTTTGGATAGTGCACAAGAGAATTGTAATCAATGAACTTAATTAAAGTAATAAATGATTGCTAATAAACCAATGCAAATTCTAACATGGATAAGTTGAATCATAATCAAAAATATTTATTCAGTTTAGACCACAAGTGGCACTTATGAACGTCAAAATGTAGTAAAAATTAAAAAAGAAAAGGTAGCCCTTATGCCCTTACGTAATATTTGGATAAGTCTGTTAATTTTGGTTGTTATTAAGTTACTGCATTTTAGAACCCGAGTAAGAAATAAAACTAAATTAACTGTTTGCAGTTTAAAATAATAATAAAGGGAAAAACATTTTTAGGCAAATATTTGCCTGTTTAGTGCTTATTGAGTGATAATATTAACATTATTACAGCCGTTAAAAGCGAGGTTTTTAAACTTGGTCGCTCTTGAGTCTAAAGATACAGCATGAAAAAATCCAATTAAATTATTGAAAGTACTTTTTACTACTTTTCTATCTACTAACTAGGCAGACCAGTGGATCATTATAACCACCAATTGGGCAGCTGTGTTATTATCACTAACAATAAAATAATTAATCACTGTACCAACAGTAGCTTCGAAACATGAGCCGAGCCCACGATAAGCATAGTAACGTGGGTATGAGTAGGTACTGGTAACAAGGTAAGGTCAATGCGGGGAAGTCCGTCAGAGGGGTAACCACGTATACCCTTAGGTAAGGTTCATTTTTGAACAGATACGTTTATAACAGTTAGTTCGATAAAACAGCACGAAATTTTCGTTCAAACTATACAACACAGATGGCGCTAGGTGGTGTTTTCAAGCAATAAAAATCGTGACAACTTTTAGTTTGGTTGTCACGTTGAAGAAGAGTGAGGCGTTTTGTGTTCAAAGTGAAAAAAATAATTCAAAACCAAGTGTTTTTTGAAAGGAAAGCTGGTAAGTGTTTAGCTAATATTACTAACTGTCGATTTGTGAAGTTTAGTTTGATTTTCAACGTTAATTTAAAGAAATATTCCTAGTGATCAGATTCTAACATCCAAATTCAATATTGGGGGAAGTTCGTACAGTCTGTAAGGGAAAGTCCGGCATATGCCGGTGTTGCCCCTTGATCAGATGTCGTAAACCTTTTGGTGTACCGAACTGTAGTTGCAAAATCGATTTTTTTTAATGTAATATTAGGTACTAAACGACTTTGAAATCGTCAGAACATTTGCGTAACTAAAATTTTATTGCAATTGTGGTGTATGTCAGTTAAATATTTTATAGTGAGTATATTTTCAACAAAAGTCAACTTATAAATTTATTTCTAGGTACAAATGTAAAACGAAAATGGTGCGGTATTATAAAAGAAAGACAGATAAAGCTTATTATTCAAAAGAAAAGTTACAAGAAACGGAGAGTTAAGTGGATACCAGGCAGCCCAAATTTATAACATACCGAGAATGACGATTATGGACCATGTCAATAAGAAAAGAGTAAAATCTAAGACTCTCGGAAGATGCACAGCTCTTTCTCAAGAAACCGAACATAAACTAGCATCATATCTGCATACAATGGAACGTTACGGATTTGGATTGAGCAGACAAGAGGTGTTAGAAATGGTTGGTCATTACGTGACTTTGAATGGAATACCATAATATAAATAAAAAAAAACCAGCCCTGTCTTTTTTTAACCTAATTAATTATTATATGTGATAATAAGCTGCCAAAAAGAAAGTATTAAGAATTAATAAGCTTTCCGATCATTATGGTTATTATAATAAATTTGTTTATTTTTTGTTATAAATTCCTGTTCTCGGGGGTGATAATAAATGACTGATTATATTAATAATTAAATTAAAAGTAATTGTATAAGTACAAAGCATTAAGAATTATCTAAAGAAGAATTATCTACACTAGAATGAGAAATTAACTACTTCACATCGTTGAGTCATAATTTTCCATCTTGTTGCACCTTAAAGTGTAATACTATTGCTCAGTGGCTTCAGAAGTGGCAGTTAAAGATGATAAATAATTATTTTATTAATAAAACTATTTAAGCCTTAAGGTTTATGTGATTTTTGCATTGTCTTGTTTTTTTTTAATAAATAATTATAAGCAAGCATCATAAAATATTGTTTTACTCGGTACATTTATTTATGTCTATTTATAGGCTGACAACCCCTGACCTTAAAAGTATGACGGACTTGCCTCACTTTACAATTACAGCGATATAAAACACGATTGCAATCTTGTATCTTAGGCGTTAAGGTTCACATTTAACTGACATTTATATTCAAATCGATTTCAAATACGCATATACATTAATCTTCAGAATGAAAGATTATAAATGTAGTCGACGGACTAACCCCAAAAGCATGGGGAAGTCCGTCTATACGCCACGTTTTAAAAAAATGCTTTTCTTTATAAAAATAAGCGCAGCAAATTTCATTAAATCATATCATATTATATAATATAGTACATGTTTTCCATTTCTTTTAATCAAAATGAAATTAGGATTAATATCAAAGTATAAATATGGTTGTTTTATGAATTCTCAATAAAGTATGCCGGACTTCCCCGCATTGACCTTAAACGAATGATTCATCACTCACCTATGCACAGGATATTGAAGACAAACCCGTTCTGCACACTCTTGTTCACCAACTGATCTGGGAGGCTGTCGAAACCGACATGCCCTGACAGTTTCAGAGTACGCAGGGAAGGCTCCATCTAAAATAAACAACTCAAATGTAACCAGTATAAACGGCACAAGAGAAGTCGTTAGGATTCAGGTAGGTACAAATGGAACAACAACAAATGTTTATTGTTAGCATTCCTGCACCGGTGCGCAAGGAATGTTTTTCTTCGGACACAGTTCCAATTACAGGCATAATAAAACCACTTTCCCGACACAAATTCAGATTGTGGAGCAACGCCCTCGGTCCCATTTACCGCATCCATATTATTGATGTTGGGTATGATTTGAACACGACTAAAACATAATGTCTGGATCCAAATACACTGAACACTGCGCGCACGTCATGATATTAGCACAAAATAATAATTTACAAATTATTTTTAACTTACTTTCGGTGGCTCAACATCAATCGCCGCCATGATTACTTTTTGACTGATGAATCGAAATGAAGTTGAAGGCGTTTTGTTCAGCAATTCCGGAGTCGTCCGCTACAACTTCAGGCACTACCAACATTAAAACGATACATATTTCTCATTTCTCAGTATTTTCAATATTAATTTATTGAAATAAGACAATAAAAATCAATTAATTGCAGATAAATAATTATGCTATTTTTATTAATGTTTTTATTTTATTTTTTATATCTTTTCAGTAAAACGAGCAATAATATAAAGTTGGCAAAATTGTGATGACGCTACTATAATGTTGCCATTAAATAAACTAAACCCTCCTACATGGGAAACTACATTCAAAAGAATCTATTCCTATTCGGCTCTGTGCCATACTTTTTGATAGGTTATTTTGTGTAGTATAATTATTGTTTTTTAAGGCTGAAATGCACCATCTTAATTTAGCTTTAACAAACGTCGAAAATCTGTCAAACTCCATATAAAAAGCACCGGTTATGGTCAAAGCTACGGTTAAAGTAAGTTGGTGCAACTCAGCCTAAATATTTTCATTTTGATAAGTATTAAAAATGGAATTTGAACGTGTATATTAGTGTTGTACCTACTTTCTACAACTGTAGCCTAATTTTTGGTATCATTATAATAATGCTCTGAAGTGATGAAATGAAGAAGAGAGTCATTTTTCATAATATCTTATGTAAAAGATTTGTTAAAAGTTTGAAGTACAATAAAATTTTAGTCAGAGAATTCAATTTCAAAGTTATTTTGTCGTCCAAACTGATGTTTCGAATTTATTAGACTTTTTTTTTTACTAAATAGCAGAGTATGAACATTTTCACACAATATTTTTTTTTTCTTTAGGTAAGTACTTACTTTATAGTATCGATCGACGATAGATTAAAAGAAAGTACCTATATGATTGGTAGGTATTATGACCGGTATCGTCATCACAATATCATTAATGTCAGTCATGTCATCAGCAGGTTTCAAGACGCTATCTGGTTCAAAGCGGGATGTTTACAGCGATACTCGAATACTCGATGCACGCTCAAATTCGAAATGTTTCAATGTTTTTTTTTATTATTTATCACTTCACTGCACTTTTAAACACAATTTAACACCTAATTTGTACACTTATGTAAATTAAAATCAATAAATCATAACGACCATGCTTTCCGTTCATCAACTCAACTACCCGCTTTTTGGTTTCACCCTTCAAAAATTACCCGCGTGTGTTTTCATTGATCGGGTAAATTATTTTTATTCTCTTATGGCAACACTGACTAATTCCAAAATGGCAGAATGCGACTTTGGTGTGTTATCATGTGAGCTAAAGAAATAATGTTTTCTTGATTATTGTTATCGTGAGTGGATTTGAAAATTGTGCAACAGTGAATTGTGAAAAACTAACCATGGCGGACTTAAAATCGCCGCCGTTTAGTGATATTAAAAGACCTGAGGAGGTGGTGAGGATGACGACGAACGATAGCCTGAAATTTGCAGTTCTTATCGGGCTGATTGAAGTCGGACAGGTGACCAACCGGGAGGTGGTGAATACAGTCCTGCATCTGGTGAGTTCAGTCTACTTCCCACGCGTATTGCACAATAATTATCCAAAAACATCTACGCAAAAATCTAATTGGAATCATCTTGGAGAGGAATTTCTTTGATCGTTCATGTTTTTTAATAATTTTATACGATTTCTAATTTTTAAAACTGACTAGGCATAGCGATTATTAGAAAAGCTATTGTTAAACGTGCCAAAGCATGTTGTTGCGGAGTAGCGCGTCTATTTTCATTGTTTTTATCGATCGCGTTTGGTCATGAATCGCGGATCGCTATGCTGACCGCGCGACCGGCCAGGCACTATGTTTGTTTTGATGTTTTGCTGCCGGCGGCACCGTGGCGATCACCACCGCACCACACCGCACCGTCCGCTGCAGCACTGCATTCCATTCCTCGCGATACGCGATCACGAATGCATACAAACAAATAATTTAGGCGCTAATTGTTAAACGGAAAAATGACGCAGTTTTGCCTTGAATGTATCCGCTCATTTGTATTGATTTGTCAGGTACCTACCTTAAACCTACATTTCAGTTAGGTCCTACCTACTAGGTATTATCGATGTCTATTTTAAGTAGGTGGGTAGGTAGAAGACAAATAATAATATATTCAATCTAATATTAAATAAATAAGTACCAAAGTAGGTAGGACCTCCTACGTTTTTATCTAATTATTCAAGCCTGTAAAGCTATTTACCTACTTGTAAAGAAGGTAGGTAGGTAGTTCGGTCGGCGCGAAAGTTATAGACAGGCAAGATTAAATCTTTGGTATTGGTAGGCACTAAATGACACGGTATTAAAGCTGGATAGAATAACCAATCATCATCATCATCATCATCATCATCTCAGCCATAGGACGTCCACTGCTGAACATAGGCATAGGCCTCCTCCCCCAATGCTTTCCATGTTGCCCGGTTGTTAGCGGCCTATAATAATAATAAATAATAACCAATATCGACACTTATTAAAGGTAGTTAGAGTTAGGCGCCTTTTTCTACTTACCTAGTTTGTGTCCTAAACTATTAAAACTACCTACATAACTTGTTTTAATCATCTAATTAACCAGGATTCTGCCAAAATACCGATGTTTTTTCGTTTTATCTGCCTAGGTAGGTTACCTAAATAACGTAAAAGTCGTAGGTAAATCCCGACCAAATCTCATCATAATTACTGAAAGTATTTTTTATATTTTAAACACTAACAACGAACAATTTAGTAAGACAGTAGGTAGTTAAATATTCCAAAATAATTATGACAAACATAAACTTGTCCCATTAGATAACATATCGCACTAATCTTAATGGCAAACCTAATTTCTATGTTGATATAGGTACCTACCTAGTAGTTTATTTCGACGCCGCAGTTAGTTTCAAAAACTTCAACCTACCTACCTATTTCGCCGAGATTTGCATTAGTTGTTGCGTACAGGTCAGCACTTACGTCAGCCCATCTGGACTTAAACATCTTCTCATGTGTCATTTTGACCGATCTACGAAATTATTTTCCAACCGCAACCGCTAGTTCGCAACATTGCGAATTTATCAAATCAAAGGTTTACCATTTTTTTTGTCCTCTTTTTGGCAACTTTTTGTAAATTTTATTTGATCTTACTGCACATCGAAATGTCAGTGTGCTCTTCTTCTACTCGGATGGAGTAAATACATGCTTAAAATAGCCTGCTTATTACAATAACATGTAAAATACCTACATTAACAAGATTTACGAACCGTATTAGGAACGGCCATTATAAGAAAATGGTAATGGCGAGAGCATGCTGTTGTTTGAACTATTATTTTAATAACAGCGCTGCGCTGACGAATGCTGTAGTCGTAATGCTCATTATTTAAAATAATGTAAATCTGCGCATGATTCATCGTAGATAAGGATTTTTTAAAGTTTTCTTGGGTAAAGGTTATTACTCCACACTTTTTCTAGATCAGATGAATGATATCTTTCGCCGAATGATTTCCAGAATACAAAACAATGAGTCTTAGTTTTTAAGTGGCAAAGTATCTCTTAGATCCTTTTAATCCCAAAATGGTAAATCGATGAACTCAATAAAATAAACCCAAAGAAATAATTAGAAAATTAGGACGTCAAAACAATTACGTCGTTCGCGATAAGTTCTTAAAATTAGCTTGGTTGAAGTCTGCACAATGACCGGTAACGTTCTTGTTAGTCACTCACCTTGATGCGTACACGCTTTAACAAGAAAAACCCGCCAAATTGCATGGTGCCCATTAAGCCTTATTTTGTAGTTACAATATACGTTGCATTGATCAGTCTTTTTCAACGTTTAACAGAAATAGTGTAGATTTCTATTGGTTTTCTGACATTTGCTGGACAAATAGACATCCTACTCAAAGGGTGATGATATTTTCAGGCATAATTTAATATCGATAAAAGCCTGAAACTAGAACAAGAAAGTGGACACCTGTACAAACATAAAAATCCTAAATTATCAACTTTAGTACCGCTCTAAGCAACCGCGCCGAGTTGCCAGCGCTTTCGAGCGTTCTTGACCGCGAGTCGCGACCTTGCACTGCGGTACGGCCGGTATTTTCCCAACCTGTCCTTCCATTGATGGCGCCTAAAGCATACACACGTCTAACCATAATCTATGATGACTGTTAATTGAGCTATAAACTGTTATTGTATGTTTTTTTACCTTGTTAGTGTGTAATTTAGTTGAAATGTATCCATGACCTTGCCAATTCCTCGTAGCGTCACCACCGGACTTCAGAGAACGTAGCCACTCAAGAGCACTAGTTGATAGTTTTTATAACGGAAAAAAAGTGGTTCTTATCAACCGAGTTTCGTTTTCTAGACCAGTAATGTTGCTGGTCTAGGTAAGATGGATTTGTATCATAAAAAGCATTAACAGCAAACACAACTAGAGCGTGAAGATTGCTATTAAAAGGATCGCAATACCCACTGACGGGTCATTATACTGATACCGAAATCATGACTATGGGTTATCATTGAATGCACATTGCTAATGCTTTGGTGAGCTATTAATTTTGCCGACAATGGTGAATAGGTAATGGAATAAAACCCTCCGGGAGAGCTGTGATTAATGACGAGCAAGATACAAGACGTAAAATTAGGCAATGAAAAATAATTCAGTTGCATGGATACAAGCAAACTGCAGACCCTATGTATGTGCCTTTTAAGCCAGAAACAAGTCAACCAGCTACGAACTAAAAAGATAAAAAAAATATCTAATGCAACAAGCAAGAAGCCTTATATTTTGAAACCAAACTGATGGACTTCCCGATATTTGAGCGTTTTGTTACTTCAATTAAATGTAGCCAGTAATGAAATATCGTATATTTGTTACAAATAGCAGTACATTCGTATGTCACTTATAATCCCGCGATCGATCCCGCATCCCTCTAATTAATCGTCGTTTAAACAAGCCCGCCAACGCCGGATACAATTCCGGGATGGCATCGACGGCAATTAATTGTGGACCGATATAATCCGGACGACGGATGCCTGCGGTTGCGACCGCCGCTGCCA